GTGTGAGATGAGGGGTTGAGGGGCGTGGTTCTTCACGTGGATGTCCGGTTGTTCCAACAGCATTTGTTGAAGAGACTCCTCTTCCCTTGACTTGCCTTGTTCCTTTGTCAAAAGTCAGTTGATCACATAAGTGGGGTCTATTTCTGAATTCCTTATCTTGATTTTCTTTTGCTGTTACAGGACCTTTTTATCTCCATGTACATTTGAAAATAGACTTTATTTTTTAGAACAGTTTTAGGTTTGCAGAAACGTTGAGAATATGGTACCAGGAGTTCCATATACCCTGTGCTCAGTTCCTCTGTTATTGATATCTTAACCTTAGTATGGTACCCTTGTTAACCAATGGATCGGTATTATTAACTAAGGCCCACAGTTCATTCAGATTTCTTTGGTTTTTACCTGATGTCCTCCTTCTGTTCCAGGATTCCCAGCCCCATCCCACATGGTGTTACGTAGGGTTCCGTCTCCTTAGGCTCCTCTTGGCTGCGACAGGTTCTCAGACTTTGCTTGTGTTTTGGTGACCTTGGCAGTTTTGAGGAGGATTAGTATCATGTTTTATAGGATGTGTATCTGTTGGAATTTGGTGTTCTTCTCATGATTAGAGTGGGGTTATGGTTTTCTGGGAGAAGACCACAGAAGCAAAGTACCATTTTCTATCACATCATCTCAGGAGTACACACTGTCAACGTGACTTATTTCGTTTGATTGTTGGTGTTGATTTTGATATTGAGCTGATCACCTGCCTGCGGCAGTGCTCGTGAGGTTTCTCCACTGCAAAGAGGCTCTTCTTTCCCCCTCTTCTGACTATACCTTTTGGAAGGAAGTCTGTGCACAGTGGGGTTTATGCTCCCTTCTTAAGGACACAGTATCCACATCCATCACTCGGAACTCTGCCTGAGAGACTGTACTCTTCTCCCTATTTATTTATTTATCCAGTCATTTATTTTGCTCTGTAAGATTTTGAACTTTTGAGTTAATTGAGACTTGTTTGTTGGCCTGTATGTGGTCTATGTTGATGGACATTCCGTCTGTGCAGAAAGACTATCTTCTGCAGTTGTTGGGTTTGATGCCGTATAAATGTAAGTTATATGAAGTTCACTAACAGTGTCGCTTAGATACCACTAATCCTTCTGATTTTTTGCCTGTTTGCTTACTCAGTTACTGAGAGAGGAATGTTCACATTGCCAACTCAGGTTAGTACTTGTCTATTCCTCCCTTCAGTTTTGTCAGTTTTGCTTCACGTGTTTTGTTACTCTGTTTTTAGAGACATAAACATTTGTGATTTTTATGCTTCCTTATGAATTGGCCCTTCTGTCATTAAGAAACGTTCCTCTTTACCAATGGCAGTATTCCTTAACTTGAAGCCTATTTTGTTTGCTATTTATATAGTAAGCCATACTTCTTATGCTTACTGTTTTCACTGTATATATTTGTTATGGACTGGATTATGTCCTCCCAAATTCATGTGTTGAAGTCCTAGCCCCAAATAACTCGGAATGTGAAAGTGTTTGGGGAGAGGGCCTTTAAAAAGGCAATTAAGTTAAAATGGGGCCAGTAAGGAACGTACTAATCCAGTCTGGCTTGGGTTCTAAAAAGAAGAGTAAATTTGTTCACGCTAAGAGACACCAGGGATGCCTGAGTACGGAGGAGAGACCAGTGAGGATGCAGCGAGAAGGTGGTACCTCTAAGCCTAGGTGAGAGGCCTCGGAAGGAGTGAAACCTGCTGGCACCTTGACCTTGGACTTCTGGCCTCCAGAGCTCTGTGAAGATAAATTTCTGTTGTTTAAGCCACCCAGTCTGTGGCATTTTGTTACGGCAGCGAACTAATATCATATCCTTCCCTTCTTTTCTTTCAAGTCCATCTTTTATAGACAACATGTAAGTGGGTGTTTTTATTTCATGCAGTCTGACCATTGCTGCCTTTAGTCGTGGTGTTTTATTTATATATGATCTAATTATTGATATGGTTGGATTTAGTCTTGTCATTTTTCTATCGGTCCCCTCTGATTTTTCTTCTACTGTTCTTCCTTTTCTGCCTCCTTTTGGGATAATTGAGTATTTTTTTAGTATTCTCTTTTAATACTTTTAATGGCTTTTGTCAACACCCCTTTCATTGTTTTTATTATTGGAGGTACTTTAGGAATTATAATATGCATATATTCTTATCACAGTCTACTTAGAATTCACGTTGTGTGACTTTCACATACAGTGTTACAATCTTGCAACCGTCTCCTTCATTTACCCTTCCCATCCTGTGTGGAAATTCTGCCACACAGTACAGTGTTGTAATTCTTGCTTTAAGTGGTATTTTAAAGAAACCAAGAGAAGAAAGTGTATCACATATTTGTAGTTGTTTGAATTTACCCACATTTCTGCTGCCCTTCTTTGTTTTCTACATGGTGTTATTTCTCTTCAGCCTGGCAACAAGTTCTGTCAGTTTTTACTTCACCTTCGTTTCCCCCTCCCCACTTCTGAAGGGTGTTCTTGCAGGATATGTAATTCTGGGCATGTAGCTTTATTTTCTTTCAAGCTTCTCAGCGCCTTATGGCTTCCCTTGTTTATGGTGAGAACTCAGATGCGCAGAGCTGTTCACGTACGCCTAAAGTTTCATTTTTCTTCAGCAGCTTTTAAGATTTTATCCTTGCTTTCGGAAGTTTGTGATATACTCAAATCACAGTTTGACTGTGATTTTCTTTGTTTTTATTTTTCTTGAGGTTTGCTGAGCTTCTTTTATCAGTACATTAGTTTTTCATCAATTGGGGGAAAATTTCAGCCATTGTATCTTCAAATATTATTCCTCAACTCTTCCCGCTCCTTTCTTGGGACTCCACGTACACATGTTTTGGGCAGTTTGATATTGTCACACAGATCACTGAGACTCTGGTCATTATTTTTTTAACACATTTTTTCTTTCTTCAGATTAGATTACATGTTAACTTTATTATCTTCAATGACTGTTCTTTCGTCTTCCATCCACTATTAAGCACATTTAATAAATTTATTATTTCTGATATTGTATCTTTCAATTTTTGATTTCTACTTGGTTCTTTTTATTATTTCTTTTCTCTTTTGAGATTCCTGATCTCTTTGCTCCTTATTACCACTCCTTCCTTTAAAACCCTTAAATATATTTATAATAGCTGCTTTAACGTTCCTGCTGCTAATTCCAAGATCTGGGGCATCTAACGCTTGGTTTCTAGCGATTGAATTTTCTCTTGACTCTGGGCCACTTCCCCTTATTTCTTCCAGAGCCTGGAATGTTCATCTTTCTTTAGAAGCTTACTGGGCTCTTGAGGTGGCTGTGTCTGTGGGTATTTTTCAAATAAAAAAAAATTTCTCTCTTCAAAGGAAGCACAAGCTAGAGTGATCAGAAATCCAGTATTAAAATCTTTCCCTTGTTTTCAATAATTCTGTCTGAATTAGACAAAATTGCTGAGTTCATTTGTGTATGGAGAAAACCTTGACTATTTTAAAATTCTGAAATTTTTCAACTTTGCTCCCTCTAGGTTTTCCCAGCACTCCCCTCCCATAATTCCTCCCGTAATTCCTTTTATTCTCATAGTTTGATGTACTTTCGTGTAGTAATACAAAAGGGAAAAGCTAAGAGAAGCTGAGATAAATTTTATTTTTTTAAAAGAAGAAAGGAAAAAGGTGGTGTTACATTTTTATAAATATCCATAAATATAGAGCGATAGGCAAAAATCTTCCAAATAAATAAATAAATATTGCCACGTGCTAAGTGACATAAGACATTGTGAGGCTCTCTTAGCTCTGCCAAAGAGAAAACCCCAAGGAACCAGTTTTCTGCCGAAGTCCTTTCCATTTAGGTTTCCAGTAGCTTTTATACACTATAATATCTCGAACGGAAAATGAAAACTATAAAGAAGATAGTTGCCGTGCACTGCTATATAGTTATTATACACAGTCTGAGTGTTTTGAAATAGGAACTCATCCTTCAAGATCAGCCTGAAACCATAGGTGAGAGCAGTCGGCCAATGTTTCTCTCATAAGTAAAAGAATGGATCCGTTTCTAAGGTCGGGTGCGTGATGGCAGCAGGGGGAGAAGGTGACTGGGAGGGAGCTGCTGTTCGCATCTACTCTGCTCGTGCATATCCTGCTGTTCAGGTGGCCATTTAAATAGAGGTAGGAAATGGGGCCCCTGAGGGTGACTAAGGTATCAGCCTCCCCCTGCCTGGTGCTCAGCTGTTCTGTGAGGGTTGGTTTTCCTCAGGGTGGCGCTGGGGCTCCTGGGACTGAAAGCTGTCTTCATTTGGTGCCCCCAGAACGTCCAAGTGGAGTAAGACCCAGACACGCCCGCCTAGGAGTGTTTTAGCTAAGCCTGTAGCCACGGCTACAGGGCGGGTTGCGGTCATGGTGAAGAGCTGACAGTGCTGGCTTTTCCTGACTCCTACACTGTGATCCCTGGTGGTTGGGCTTCTTTCCCCGGAATTCCCGATGCCACTTCACAAAAGGACACAATTGGGGCTTCCCTGGTGGCGCAGTGGTTGAGAGTCCGCCTGCCGATGCAGGGGACACGGGTTCGTGCCCCGGTCTGGGAAGATCCCACATGCCGCGGAGCGGCTGGGCCCGTGAGCCATGGCCGCTGAGCCTGCGCGTCCGGAGCCTGTGCTCCGCAACGGGAGAGGCCCCAAC